CAAATAAAAATATGTAAAACAACACACAAGACAGCATTTAAAGTCATGATGAAACGGAAGTTTCACTGAGAAAACAGATTATCAAAAGTGGGGGCTCTATTCATCGATTATTTGATTGGATGGAACTCAATGACTAAATTATATACCAAGTCCAGCATACATCACCAGAGAGAAGTATGTTGTCTCACTGAAAGATTTGAAAGTTTTGACATTTTAATTAAAAATGTAACTTAATTTAAAAGGTAATTTTTAAAAACATATTGTATGCATTAACTAATCATTCACAATAAGATCAATAAACATGCATTTAGAAAATAATTGGTGAATTTTCATTTCATGTCCACTTTAAGTATGTTTCCAATTTAGGGGTGTTTCGGTATGTTTAAAGTCACAAATGCTAATAGTTAAATTGTTCACCTGCTGGCAATCCAGAAATAATCTTCACTGTGAAAGTCTTCACAACACCTGGAAATTTCATCAGTCTTGTGATCTCCCCCAGATTAAACACGGAATTTGATGATCCCTTCTCTAAACAAACATAAAAATCATAATAATCATTATATATATATATATATTTGATAAAAATTTAATTTGAAAGTGATACATAAAACTATTGTAATGCTGAAATAAATATATACAAACTCCATTTACCAATATACAATAATCAGATTCTTAATATAAGACTTTTATACAATAAAGTTACAAATGGCTACTGCAAGAGCATTCCTTCTGTGTCTAGCTGAGTTGTGTGTTTGTTTATGTCCATACTGTTACTCTCCGGCACGGTGTGTATTTTGGTCTGTTTAGGGATGAAGTTCAACACCAACAGCAAAGAAACAAAACTTCCGACAGCTGCAAAAGATGCTGCAAACTTTTCCCTGCAAACCACACAAAAACAAAACCACTGGCACTTGTCAGCACTGATCTAGTAAAACAATCCTGTTTTACTAGATCAGTGCTGCTTTCATTATCTTCATGTGATAAACAACATGATTAGATTTGGTTAGAAAAATGCAGTTGTTCCAGAGTACAAATGGTAAAGTTTTGTACTAGTGGACAAAAGGACTCAAAAGTAGTTTCTTTTGAATTTGTATTCATTAAATAATCCTTAAAAAACTGTATCACTGTTTTCATGTAAAACTGTATTCATGTTTAATGTTTCTTGAGCGCTAAATAAGATCATTAGAATGATTTCTGAGGATCATGTGTGACTGAAGACTAGAGTAATGCCAGCATAGTGTAGGTGGTGTAGTGTGTCCTACCCAAAGCGTGTGCTGAGGGTCCCACCCAGTGATGATCCTGCGATCATGCCAATGCCAAAGCAGAGGCCAAGTTTCCCAAGAGCATCTGCTCGCTTCTCATCCTCTGACAGATCTGCTACCACCATTTGAGCTCCTACACACAAATGCAAATGCACTCATGTACCTGTATACTGTACAGGCATATGTAAGAGTGTATGAGCAGCATGTGTTACCTGGAAGTGTGTGCATAAAAACAGCAGGTAGTTTATGCACGAAAAGCATAAAAGTGTTGTCTGCCACCGCCAACAGTAGAAAATAAACCACTGATGCCAAGCAAGACACAGAGAGAGCTGCACGTGCTCCGAACACATCTGCAAACCTGAAAACAGACACAAGACACACGTGTGAATAAAAGCCATACAGTACCTATATTTAAAGCCTATAACTGAAGTAAGACATTAAATAAATGAGTCATTCTCATTAGGCACACATAATTACAGACATTTATCCATCCTATTTCCATACACAACACACACAGATGAGTTTGGACTGCTTACCTTCCATAAATAGGGCCTCCAAGCAGCTGAATCACTCCAACTGTGGTCTGCAGATACCCGAACCAAATAGTATCGAACCCGAGCCTCCTCGCCAAATACTGTTCCACAGAAGACAAAACTGAACAAGCAAGGCAACCCATCTGTCATAACTGCTTTATTTCTGTCTGATTAGCTGAGAGCCTCGATTAGACTAGAATGGGCCAAACAACATGGCCAGCTTTAATCTGCTATATATTACATTTACCAGCTGCGAAGAATGAAGAATATAACCAACATGTAATGCAGGTGAATAATAATTAAATATTTACTCTCTCTCTCTCTCTATGTATATGAGATTATGCATATAATAATTTATAATAGAAGTTATATTAAAATTATAACATTTAAGTCTAAATATAATTGGTTCACATTATCAAATAGTTTGTTTGCTAAATGTGAGAACACAGCCAAAACCCCTGCAGATATACATTCCAGGACTCAGCAAAATCGATTCAAAGGTGCTTTTATTTAACATCTGATCCCAAATGAAGTCGGAAAGCAAGACGAACCGGTGTTATGGAGAACTGGAGGAAGAGCCAGGTGATGTCCAGAGCTGCGATGAGGTAGGTGATGTAAATCACTTTCTGCTTCGCAGCCGGCTCCATGATTCAAATCACTGTATCAGATCTCAGCTTTGGGCATTTATTCCCCGATAGTTCTTCTTCCGCACGATCTGTTCCTTAAACGGGTAAATTAAGAGCATCTGCTTCCACTGAAACTCCGACGAATATACAGGTACACATTATAAACCGTAACGCTTTACGGCTTTATCCCGCTGTAGTAGCGGTGACAAAGCATAATGTAATGTGAGGGAAAGGTTAAACCCAGAAACGCGCAGAGCTGAACTTCAACCAGTCCTCAAACTATCAACAGGTTAAAGGACTTTGAGCCGTTTCAGTTTCGCCGAAGCTCTGTTCACTGCGGTGGGAAAGAAGGGGGTTATACGGGTTTAAAATAGAATACACAAATATTATTATTATTTATATAGACGTAATAGTTTATATAAAGATATAAAAATCTGCAGTCGTTTCACCTCCGCACACAAGACCACGGAGCATATTTACATTGGGAGCGAGTAGGCTACTGTCCGACTACACGTTAACAAGTAACCGGATTAGGTTATAAAGTGTAAAGCGTATAAAGGTGTCTAAAGTGCTCAAATAAAACCATTAATACATAGTCCTCGCCATTTTTGTTGTGGATAACGCACATCGAGGATATTCCTCCTCCTCTCGGTGTCGTGAACACTGGAGGCGTGACTAGCCGTCAACAAACCTACTACAATCGACATCTATTGTGACTAAACGGAAAAAGAATAGCAGATGAACCGACAGCAGAGCAGAGACTGACCGAGAGAGAGCAAGCAGTACTCCGTAAGAGCTCATTGTTGAGAATGAGAAGCGGTGCTGTAGGCTACGCCAAAACAAAAGGTCGCTTCATTTTTACGTATTGCTGTTGCCTTGAGTTTAAAATAAAAAAAGTTACCATTTTGTTCACACGTCATGTTTTGCAGCAAAGAACAATCCAATTTGTTGCAGGCTAAGAGCTTTCCACCAAGTAGCCTTCATACAGTAACCTATACAGTATATGCACACTGACAAACGTTTGATTTTCTGTTAGCGTGGGACTTTCAATTGATTTTTATTGTTTTATACAGAGCTAACTCGTTTTATTTTCTTATCCATTTCTTTTCCTATCGTTACATTTAGTCCCCGATTCCCACCCAGACAGAAATGACCACAGTAGTGTGGAATAAAGTGCAGCTTTTTAATTTCAATATAATATAGAGTTCATCTGTATGGTTCTCCATCATGACCAGCAGAGTATCAATGAACAATTAAAAAAAATCTGTGCAGAAAATTGCAGAGTATTAAAAACACACAAGCAAAAAGTCCCTGGAACAACACTTTGTGAAAAAATAGTTTGAAAGTTCTGTCTGAACAATATATATTAAGTACAAATATAACCGTTTAAGTGCACAAACATGATACAGAGTCACACTCTGTTAAAAACGTTTTGTAATAAATTATCAGTAGACATATACTAAACATTGACTGACCTCATTCTAAAAGGAAAACAAAAACATTTACAATCCAGGAATAGACAGGTCAGCATGTGTCTTTACTGAAAATAAACAATTCCAGAGATATCCAAAGAGATTGCTACTGTTCAATGCTAATGCCGTGACATCTGGAAATAATAGATATATTAAAACCACAGACCTGAGAACAGCAACCTGGCCCAACAGCTGAGACACAACTTACAGCATATCTCTTAATGGATAATATCACTGCACACTGTCCGCAATTTACCAGCCTACTGGCTCATACCAAGGTTAGTTGCTATGTTAAAGGGGTTATATGATGCGATTTCAAGTTTTCCTTTCTCTTTGGAGTGTTACAAGCTGATTGTGCATAGATAAGATCCCTGAAGTTGCAAAGACTAAAGTCTCAAAACCAAAGAGATATTCTTTAT